AAGAAAGAAAGAAAGAAAGAAAGAAAGAAAGAAAGAAAGAAAGAAAGGAAGGAAGGAAGGAAGGAAGGAAGGAAGAAAGAAAGAAAGGAAGGAAGGAAGGAAGGAAGGAAGGAGGGAGGGTAGGAGGGAAGGAGGAAGGAAGGAAGGAAGGAAGGAAGGAAGGAAGGAAGGAAGGAAGGAAGGAAGGAAGGAAGGAAGGAAGGAAGGAAGGAAGGAAATCAGATTTGTATATAACACAAAGTACATACAGGAAACCAATAGGTAGGTACATCTGACCCCTGCACATCTCCACTAATGTTATATCTTGCATCATAGGTTTGGATTCCTTCTTCTAGCCAATCATATAGCTTACTTAGGGTTTAGGATTTTCATCTGCACAGCTTCAATTCTTTACTTTCACTTTTATGATAGAAATAGAATAATATACTCCAGTAAATTATATATAAAATATGTTAAATTGTCCATAAATAAGACAATGGTATTAAAGGCCCTCAACTTTGTTGAGTGTGGGCACGGGCGCACGCACACACACACACACACACACACACACACACACAATGTTAACTTTGACTCAGTGAGAGGCACATATTTTTTCACAGAAAGTCTAATTCATGTTTTGATTTTTTTATTTGACACTTATGAAAAGTCATATGTAAGCCAATAGGTCTAAAGAATTAAGTAAATATTTTCCAACAGTCATAGTTGATTTCAATCTATGAAATGAAAATTCATAATATATTTTAAATGGGTAGATTCTGCTGCTGATCTTGAGCAATAATTGTTTTCTCTGCAAAGCCCTTACTTTATGGTAGGGACCATAAAGAAGTTGAGGATGTTAAAGAGAAAAAAAATACCTTCATTTAACTGAGTTAAATGAATTCCTTAGAACCTTCCAACAATATTCATAATTATCTATAGTGTCAAGGTCAAAGGATAGGCAGGCATTTTAATTAACATATTCCCTTTCCTCCAAGGGTTATTTGCCCCAAATTGTTTTAGAATGTTGGCATACTAGCAGCATTTTGTGTTTTTATGTAAGTGGATAAAAATCTTTCCATGTTTTAACAACTTTTTTATATTTTTAATGAAAATTCTTATCATGTACTTTTCAAAAAAAAAAACTCAAAAAAATGAGGCAGAGAGCTTCATCTTTCCTTTTCAGATCAAATCCAAAGTCAAGAGTCTTAATGCAAAAGTTTGGAGGCAATCTATAAGAATAAGGAGTAAATATTTTACCAATCTAGCAGGCATAAAGAAGACAAGCTGAATAAATTGATGGTCACTATCAATAGAGATTTGCTCATTTATTTTGATGGTTTACATACTTTCTAGTAAAAATGAAGTGTTTTGCTTTTATTAAAGTTTTTTTTTTATATTTTTAGGCAATTGGGGTTAAGTGACTTGCCCAGGGTCACACAGCTAGTGTCAAGTGTTTGGTCTGAAGCCGAATTTGAACTCAGGCCCTCTTGACTTCAGGGCCAGTGCTCTATTCACTGCACCACCCAGCTTCCCCTGTTTTATTGAAGTTTAAAAAGCATGCCTAGCATAATATCTTTGAGTATATTAATTGTACTTTACTTTTGTATCTTTCCCTGAATTGATTAGAAAGCCCTCATTAAAATTAGTATGATATATATATATAGCTTATGAATTGCTCAATCCCATTTATTTCTTCATTGTTCCATCTCTAGCAGTTGAAGAGTCTGCTAATCTGCCTCCCTCTCCACCTCCATCACCAGCCTCTGAACAGACTGGAACAGTGGAGGAAGGTAAGCACACATGGGACATTTGGGGACATAGTCCTCAGCTAGAGGGGAACCAAGCTCCAATTCATAGGGCCAAACTTTCTAAGATATTGGTAGATAAATTTGCCATGGCTCTGCCTTAGCTTTTTTCCCCCTCACCTTAGCTTGAAGAGGATATTTTATCCTTCAAGTAACTTGGAATTGGTTAAAAATTTATGCTGTATAAATGTCCATTTGAGCAAAATAAAATCAGAAATCGGAGTATGTGGTGAACAAAGAAAGAAAAAACTCTTTGCCTTTAAGGAGCTAAGATTAATAATAACTCTTCTAATACTAGCTTCTTCTGACAACAAGGACAACCGGGATGTTTAATGGCTCTTAAATAGCATCAGGAATGGCTTTAACATGTTCATAAGTCGATTATGTAATATCAGGAATTTGACTTAAGCCTATCAGAGAGACATATGCAACCTTGAGAAAATATTAGCTAGGATTGAAAATGACAAATTCAGAGCCAAGAAACTGGGTTTCATCTCTAGCAGGACACCTTCCAGACCATAGTTCTTGGAATCTGAAGAATCCAGTTCACCAGCAACTCAGTGAAGCGTTAATATAATGCTATGTAAGCTTTCTTCTCCTCAGCGATAAAATAGGGCACTGCCTTGGTGCAAAATTCCTTCAGATTCTCAAATGAAAAGCACTATTTAAGGGCAGGATGTTACCATTAGCCCTTTATTGCTTGAAGTGCCCATTTAAACTGCTTCCATTCATTCGGTGTTAAAATAAAACAGCAGAGTTAAGTTACAGATTAAGTTACACCTCAACAATGAATTGCTTTAGTGTGTTGTATATTCGTGTGTATATGTATAAGACACACTAAGTTCATTCTAATGTTTTAATTCATTTTTATTTTACTCTCCATCTTTCCATTTCTTTCCTCTTTGGTCATTTTAGTTGTTTCTTGCAGATAAGCATTGATAATAATATGTATGTCTATTTATACATATATGTATGTAAAGCCAAATACATCTGATTATGCTTTAAATATATATACATATATATAGTATCATGGATACAGAAAAATCCTGAGATTTTCTAGAATAATTTAAAATTAAATCTATTTTAGACATATTTTATAAGATCATAGATTTAGAGCTTGGAAGGAACCTTAAAATATATCTAGCCCAATCTCATTTTACCCGAGGAGACTGAAACCTAAAAAGGTTAACTGTCTTGTCTAAGGTTGCACAAATAGTAAGGGACAGACCCAAAATTCAATCATAGGTCATGTCCTCTGACTCAAATACAGCACTATTTCCACTACACCATACTGCTAATCTCTCTCTCTCTGTGTGTCTCTCTGCCTCTCTCTCTCTCTTGTCTCTTTCTGTCTCTCTCCCCATATGTATGTATATATGTATATATACATGTGTATATCTCTATATATTTATTAGAGAGATATTTACACACAGAGATTTTTCTATCTGTAGAGACATACATGCAAATTACCTAGATTGGATTTTAATACAACTAAACCAAAATATTTAGTCATTTGAGCATGTGTATACCAACTAGTTTAAAATAAAATTCTTTTAAGGAAGTCAGTCACTTGTTAACTTCCATCTTTTTTCAGTTCTTAGTGAGTTTGAGTATTTTCTTCTCTAAAAAAAATCAAGAAGTGTGCTGTAGTGGACAAAGAAGTGGTTTTGGAGTCAGGAACATGTGGGTCCAAGTCTTGCCTCTGATATATACTGGCTGTGTGGCCCTGGGCAAATCATTTAACCTCTCAGTGCCCTAAAGAAGTCTTTAAGACTATAAATTATGGACAGAACTGTTGCTAATCTGCATTGGTATAGGGAGTTTCTTTACTAGGAGTTCGCTATACCAGTGAAATCTCAGACCAAATACAAAATAATCTACAAGTTTTTGAACTCTATGTCAAAACAAAATGATTCAGAAGCCCTTTACTTACAGTAGTACTTATAATATGCTAAGTACTGAAGATATGAGATAGTAATGAAACAGATCTTGCCCTCAAGGAGTTTACATTCTTGTTGTCTACTCTAGAAGCAATAAAAGGTAATTTTGTAATGAGGTACATTCATCTGTAAGTGGCTAGTTAATCCTCTTAATTGATAGATTAGTCACTGAGCAGCTGAGTGCCCTCCTGGGGACATAAAATATCACAGCTTTAATAGCTTCTGACTTCCACATTCTATGAGGAATGTATTCAGTGGCCAGGGGGTCTTCTCACAGTTTGGGATTGTGAGCGACAGTCACCCTTTGGAATTCTATGTAATGACCTTGCATCTACTTTATGGAAAAAAATCCAATCCTGGAAATTAGGACAAATTTAGTTAAAATATGAACAAAATATGGCTTGACTTGACTATCCTTTCATTGAAACATGTGATAATATAGTTGTCACTTGTCTAGAATAATTCCTGTCCCATTACTTCAGTTCAATAACTTTTGTTATGGTAGCTTATTGGAGGGGAGGGAAGAGGAAATAAGGTCACCTCACTTTTCATAGAATTTAACTTGAAGGTATAACTGGAAAGAACACTGGATTTAGAAAGAAAAAAAACCTATGCGTACACTCCTGACCACCACTTACTAACTGGGTGTCTTGGTTGGCATATTATTGCACTTTTCTAAGCCTGAGCTTCTTTCCTTATAAAATGAGTGGGTCTGTTCTAGATCTAAATCCTATGAAACATCAAAATGACTTTACTACCTGTGTTTTTAGGACCAATTTTTAATGTTTTGGGATTAGGTTCTGATTTTCATTGTTAAAAAATTCACACATGAAATTACATCAAGAACCAATGCCTTGTTTTTAAAATGAGAGATGTTTCTGAGTTACAAGTTTCACAAAGAAGCAGTTTTAAAGATCAACTCGTATCCATTGTTTTTTCTCCATAACATCTTACTCAGCATAATTGAAATTGATTGACATTCAAAGTGTAGACATTATTTCACAAACCAGACATTTAAGGCTAAGGCAAATCTATAGCATTGGCAGACGGCCTGGATAACATTCACCCCTTCTGATTGCCACAAATATGTAACAGGTGTGTAGGGCTATGAGGTAAAAATGAGCTAAGGCCAAACTGATATGTTTATGTGTTTAAATAGCTGTTGAAGTCAGTGAAATAACCAGTTACTTTTTAAAATAGGTAGTTTCATTTTGTTAGATAATTAAAAATAAATTAGTAACTTGTTACTAGTCAGTCTTTTTTAAAAATAGCTGGTTGATTAGATTTACTGGAGTATTTGTGTGTGTGTGTTTTTTTTATTGATTTGTGTAGGAAACTACACAAACTGTGTAGAAGACAACAGTGGAGTTTTTGAATTAGTGAGTGTAGGTATGATTTCTTTGTCTTTGAAGATGGGTGAGTAATCACCTTAATTGTGATTCTCACCCAAGTGACAAAGCGGCCAAAACATAGTTCACCGCTTCTAAGCAGAGGTAAGGGTTCCCTTACTTCTGAAATGAGCTAACAGTTATGGGTTAAAGGGTTTGTGACTTTGTACTAATTGTGGTGGGTTGTTTTTTGTTTTGATTTGGTTTGGTTTTGATGATCTTTCCCCCAGAGGTAACACACAAGGGACCATTAAAAATAATAACTTAAGGTTGTTAATTGATATCATTTGCTAATGTATTATCAAGATTAATCTTTTATTTCTCTGTACTTATTCTCTGGGCTACTCACAAAGATTTGTGACCTAATCACTAAATAAACAAGTAATACACCCAGAAGTCTGAGTTTATAAGGAAGCTTGGACAAGTTTATGATTAGCATAGCCCTACTGCATTAAGCTACCTATTTTTCAAATGAGATGGCTTCCTTTTTACCTTTGACCCCATGATTTTTCTAGACATTTGGCCTGTATTCCTGAAGAAAGGGAAAAGTCAGTGCAGGGACCACTGCACAGCCAAGGTCAGAATTAGGGTTTCTCTACCCTCTCTTTTTTAAAAAACTTAAAATGTTGAGACTATTATTGTTCTAGTGTTCTTGTGGAGGGGATGTATCATTCCTATAATGAAGACAGTTTTCCTTCACAAGTCAGCTTGTGGTGGCAAACACAGATGATGTGTCAACTGAAAAAGTTCACAAGTTTTTCAAGATTGAAAGGACTGAGTGGTAGTTATACCAGAGGAAGTTGCCTTCAAAATCCATGTGGATTCACTGAAAATACTAGAAAATGGACTCTTGGAAGAGCATCAGTCCATTTTAGCCAAAACAACTATGATTCGAGGGACAATCAGTAAATTGATTATTAAGTGCCTGCATGTGTCAGGCACTGTGCTAGATGCTAGGGATGAAAAACCAATGAATGAAACAATCCTTACTAGCAAAGAACCCACACCCTAACAGGAGAAGCAACAGGGACATATATAAATATCCACAAAATAAATTGAAAGAGAATAAATAAAAATTGAGTAGTTAACTGTAAAGTAATTTGAGAGACAGAGCCCTAGTAGGACAAACCATCTGGTATGGTAGAGGACATTGAATATTTTGTAAAATAGCAGTAACACACACTGAAAATAATATTTTCAAAGTATAATTCCAGAGCATAACCAAAATCTTTTGTTAGGAGAATTTCAGAGAATTGATTCCATTAGTTGAAATAGTTGAATATCAATTTTGAAAATTCCTTTTATGTAGAAATTGACTATTCAAATACAAAATTGAGTGTGATGTAGCTCATTATAACCCAGGTCCATACTCCGTGAGTCAGGATACCTTGTAGTCAAATTCCAACATGACAGGTAGTTGGTCTTTAGGACTAACACCAATGTTATCCAAAGGTTCCACCATCCCCATATCAAAAGTACTTGTACGTGGGACTTAGCAAATGAAGAGAAAGGAAGATAACTAAAAGCATTTGCTGGGCAATAGTGAGGTCCCATTCTAACACTGGTCTTGAGATCATGCTATGCTGAATGGAATTTATTGGGACTGGTGAAGCTCATCTCCAAAGTTCTACCACTTTTTCTACTTCATAACAAACAA